ACACAACAAAAATCCTGCTTAACTACAACAACACAATTAAATGAAAACACATGCAAAAGTTCAATATTAAAAGCAATTTGAAAGCAGTGTCACCCATAAACTGTCAAAACACAAACCTTAGTCCGAATCTCACTCAACTCGGATAACCAAATAACTTTATATTAATGCAGGACTGGGCTATTCGAACTTAGATGATGTCTCAAGGCCATTGAACGAGTAAGAGGGAAAAAAAAATTAAATGCAAAGCACAAATGACACTCCGAAAATAGGCAAAACAAGTGTAGTAACTAGATCGACTACAGGGATAAACTAATGCGATCAAGACAACATTTCAGTCTGTCCTTATAAAAGTTGTCCAATCTTCTACAATGATGGTATCAGTTTGTCCGTCAAACGCCGGGTCCTTGTACTCTATACAACTTTCTATTACTTCATATTCGCGCAGCAGGAGACTTCGCAAATATTTGATGGTCGTGTCCACAAGCCCATCCATGAGTGTTTTGAGTGATGGTTGCTCCATGATCCTCCTTCGGAATTCTTGTCGTCGTCGTTCATCGATGTTGTCTGCATTGGAAACACTTGCACTTGCAGAATAGTCATTATGAATAAGGAAAGATACTTTGCACCGACCTCGAACAGTTGCCGCTGCACAAACAAGATCATCACATTGAAATTGTTGTGGCAGAATTTGACTGCTGAATAATACAATTCCGAAAAGGGTGCGAGCACTTCTCGCGGGTACGTTCTCGTTCCACAACCTCCGACCACAAATATATAGTGACTCTCGAGGAGAATGTTCCTAGTCTTCCGGTGGGGCATCCACACCTCTAATACTGAGTACTGCACTGTCAAAGATCACTTCAGATGTGAAGAAAACTGAACCCATATCATGCCATATATTTCTTCGCCACACCATGTTACTTGGCGACCATCCAGTCGTCACAAATGGTTGAACCATTCTGCAACACATGAAAATACAGTTTAAATATATATAAATGAAAGTTCAATGACAACTAAATAACGTACTAATACGTGTAAAGAAATACGATTAGCTCTTCTTCAAAACCTATTTAAAACCTACTGATCTTCATTATCGGGAAGTGAAAGGCATACCAAGGCCTTCTCTCTGGCCGATTTTGGAATGTGCACTCCATTTTCTAAATGCAATGTCTTTGATGTCCAGCTCCACACAACACAGTCTACATGCACCACTGCTGTGATATTGTGTTGTCTTTCTACCACGTCTTCTTCCATGCATTCGAATATTGCACAGAAAGACGTTTAGCAATAGGTTGTGACACCCAATATTCAATAAGAATATGATTGAAAGTTGATGACTTTATATCGTTGTCTACATCGGAAATGACTCTACCCATCCATACAGGAACTCCCTCATCGATATCATCTTTGGAAGGACGCAAGAGAACGAATTGACCTTTTTCGACATTCACAACTGGGTTGAGCTCCGCCTTTCGACGCTCATTAGCCGGTCCAACGAACAACGGCTCCTTATTCTCATTGCTCTTCAAGAGGAAGGCAATATCAATATCATCTGGATCATCCTTCTTAATTTCGTCTTGTGAGGGTCAGAAGTCGGCCTTGAGTGAAGTTTTCGCAAACCCAGATCCGTAATGCTCCCCGACTGTCTCGAGGAAAGTTTTCTTGTGTGAAAGAGCACTCTCTTTTGAGAAGCTAACCTCATCTTTCATTCCCAACCACTCGTGTCGCTTGTTCTCCAACCACCCAACAAACGTCTTCACACCTTCAAATCCCGATTCGAAATCCGAATTCCTATCTTTAGTAGGCAGAGAAGCTGACGGCGGAACAGGTGATGGCACGAATGGCCATTCGGGTCCAGCATATGCTTTGTTTCCATCTCGTTTAAAGCAATAGACTGGAGCATACCATTTAGGAGAAGTGCAATACTCTTTCCACTGGAACACAGGATTGTCATCCTGCATATAAAACCTAAATGCATGTGGACGAGTATGACCGGTCAGTCTCTTGACCAGGAAGGGCTTAACAGCAGCTCGCCAATCAGCAATTTCATTAATGAATGTGCACGTTGGACGCTCTTTTTTAGAACTAGCAACGAGCTTGAAGAGGTCGAGCATGGTATATGCATCGTGCATTTTCAGTTTGCGAGAGAAATGACTGAAAGTGACATCAACGTCCGTATGTGTGTGTCCCACTAACATAAAACCGAATTCGACTTCTTTGAAAAAGCCAAATTTTACCAAAGTTGCAGCGAGTGCCAAAACGTATCTGTTTTTGTTTTCTCTCCAAGAGTTGTCAGCTTGTATCCTCAGTTTAGGAGGCAAGTCGCTCGTCTCGTGGATGTCGCGGAGAACTTTCATAATGGATGACACTACAGCATTAGAATCATGTGGATAGCAAGGGTACCATGTGTGAACATGGACCGATGGTGAGCGGCCGTGTGCAATAATAGCTGTTAGATTCGTTCTCAACATCGGAATATTTGCGAATGCCTTTGATTTGTTCTCTCCGCCAAAGTGTGGAATGCTGGTCTTGCTTTGGTCCATGCCGTCAATGATGATGCACAAACTGTTGGAACCCGGTCTCTTCGACTCATCCTTCCACACCTCATACGCAACACGATGTTGGAGCTGCAAGTCCAAGTGTTACTCGCGTAACGAAACAAAGTACTCACGCACACGCACGAACTTTGCAGAATTGATAGATTATTTGTATTCGACACATTTCTCGCATTTCGCAAAGTATTGATCAATGTCATGGAATTTCACATGCCAGAACTGCGTTCTCCACATGTTATAGAAAACTTGGAGAGAAACACAAGGAGCACCCATGTTGTCGAATTGCGACTTTAGTAACTTATGACCAACCTTGTTATAGCAAGCAGGCAATCTCAACACCACTCTCGATTCCCTCTCTTTGATCTTCATGTCATTGGGCATGGAATCTCCGTTGTCTCGCACGAAGGAGCTTAGTTTTCCGTACATCGTCGCATATGTTGTTGATGTGCGTTTGAGTCCAGTACTGCCATGCTCCAACATATTGTAGCCTTTTGACAAAGTCATCCTTTTTTTGAGAAATGTATTCCTACATACACCTAGTGTGAAACACCAAGCACTAATGCACACCTGTCTCCCCACAATAGGTTGAACAATCTCCTTTTCATCTTCTATGAAGGTGAACCTCTTCAACGTTTCAACCCACCATGTATCATTGCTCTGCTGGTTCTTAGAGTAGTATGTGCTCCGGACAACTTTGATGTCGTCCAGGGTCATTTGAGCGCAACACTCTCACTTACAGTAAACCTGCCCACGCACACTCGCCAGTGTTTTTTTGGTGAGTTTTCTATGAACTGATTGCAGAATCTTCTTTCTGAGACGAAAAGTATAAGGATGCTTCTCTGTGGACAGGCGTTTTGGAAAAATGTCATCGAAATCAAAGATCACGTCACAATTCTCATCGTCATTTCGACAACAGTGGTCACTGTTCCGGTCAGCGTACGTTTGCGGAAGATCGGTTTTATCTGGAGAACTATCAGCACTAGACGACACCGAAGCACTTGAATCTGAACCACCTTCATCACTCTCACCAAACAGAAGACCTGTGTACTCGAAATCTCGAAGTGAATTCCTCGGCACCCATACAACACGATCAAGTTCGGATGCGTCGTTGTCAGTAGCGGAGGCCCTACCCTCCAAACCTTCAACACTCTCTGCATCACAGGTTCGAACCGGGCATCGAAGGACGGGATACGCACTTTCACATGTAGTGTCCGCACACGCAATATTTCGTGACCTCTTATGAGCAGGAGATTCCGGAGCATTATCGACACGCTCGTGACCACTTCGAACATCTTGTGAACGCATTGGCATGTGCGGTGGAGGAAAATCCTCATTGAGCATTGTATTAGACGCCACACAGTCCATGCTTTCGAAGGTTGTGCTGCAAGCCTGCCGTGGCATAACATGCACACCACAACCCATGCACGAGACGTGTCTGCAACAACAAAACAGCAGACCACTGTCAAAGGCGAAAATCCGAGGTCGATGAAATGGAGCAGACAACCATCCCTACACAAAAGCGAGAAACACAGCCCTACAAATGAACCTAAGAAACACGGCCCTATACTGGACGGAGGGGAACAGGAAACATCCGAGAGAGGATAACACACGACCGTGGAATCTGGGCAGCAATCCAGTCATCAGGCCCAATTCGTGCCAAGGGCGCAATACACGAGAAAGAGTCTGTCCATGCGGAGATCGAACGACAGTGGGAAGCGTAGCACATGTCGAGTCGGGGCACCAGCAACGGAATACACAGCGTGCAACAACATTGAAAAGGCGGAGATCTTGACGCACGACTGGAAACGCAGCACATGTCACGTCGGGCACCAGCTTCGGAAAGGCAGAGACCACGGCGCGCAAAACCCAGCGGGCACCAACAGCGGAACGGCGAAGACTCTGGCGCGCAGCACACAGCTTGGCACGAGGGCATTGATAGGAAAGATTCTATATTACTCCAGGAACTACAGCGACTGGACACTCGTGGTACTCACCACCCACGCAGAGCGGGCAAGGAAACTGCCACGAGTGAGCAGGAAAACCATCGTGGCAACGCGACCGCCTCGCCCAACACGAAAGGGTCCCCCGTCTTGATTCCCGGGTACCAGACTCAGAGGATTCGAAGCAAAATTCGCGCAGAGTTCGTTCTACGGTGCACGACGGGTTTCGAGAAAGCCTGGCTGAGAAGGCAAACGACTGCGGCAATGCCAATGTCGCGCTCAACACGACAGGAGCTCCATTGTATATTATCGCAATCTCGCAACAAGCAGTCAGTGCCACAAAAAACAAAAGACAGTCACCCTGGCACTATGTTCTGCTGGCGCAACTCGCACTAAACTCTGTGCAAGTCGAAACGAAGATGGGGGTCATGGCGAAAAAGAGCAGGGTGTTCGACACGACCGTGATGGCGTTCGACACGACCAAGATCGCGTTCGACCGTGGCGGACACGACGACCACCGTGCTCGTCACGACGGCCACCATGTCCGACCCGACGACCATCCCGGCCGACCCAACAACCATCGTGTCGGACACGACGACCATCGTCGACGATTGTGTCGGACACGAAGACGGTCGTGCTCGATACGATGGCGGTTGTGTTCGACACGACGACGGCCGTGTTCGAGACGACGACTGCCGTGTTCGACACGACGTCGGTCACGACGACAGCCGTGCACGACACGACGACGATCGTGTTCAACGAGCTGGACACGACGACGAGGGTGTTCGACACGACGACAGCCGTGTTCGACACGATGGCGATCGTGTTCGACCCGACGACGATCGTGTTCGACACAACAAGGATTGTGTTCGACACGACGACCGCCGTGTTTGACACGACGACGACGGTGTCGAACTCGACGAGGATCTTGTTTGACACGACGACCAGCGTGTCGGACACGACGATGATCGTGTTCAACACGACGACCGTCGTGTTCGACACGACGATGACCGTGTCGACCATCGTGTTCGATACGACGACCACTGCGGTGGAAGTGTTCAAGAAACCTTGTTGACGTCACCGATAAACCAGCACTGAACACGGTCGTCCACGGAGGCTTTACTCTTTGTCTCGCGGGGGGGGGGGCGGGGCCGTGTTCGCCGAAGCGGCACTAACCTGGAGAGCGGGGCAGTTGTCGTATTGACGTTGGAGGACGGCTGCGCTGATTCTCCCAGAACGCGAACAATGAGACAATGTCGCAGGTACTTATGTGCGTGAATCGCATTTCTGCTCAGCAGCTGAATGTCATCCCCGCGCCTCCGCTCTAGCCGAGGGGGGAAAACGATCGCGGCCGATCGCAGTCATTGGATCGTCCCGACCATACGTATTCCCGGATCGGACGACCAACAGGTGCCCGCGGAGGGCCCACCCGAAAAACAACATATATGAGGCAGGCCCACCACTCCCCATTGGATCATCCCGACCGTCAGTATCCCCGGATCGGACTGCCAGCAGGTGCCCGCGAAGGACCCTCACGAAACACTACATATATGAGGGAGGGCTACCAGTTCCCATTTTCGTTTTAGTTTGGCAACACTGTAGTAGCGCAGCGCAGCGGAGGCTCGTGCCACAGCGCAGCCCAGTGGAGGCTCGTGTTCAACGCGACAATGGAGCGCCGGGATTCGGTCTGTGCCTAGCAGACCACCTGCTCGACGCGACGGCGGACCACAACACTGTCGAGAGGCGTGTTCAGCGCGACGACGGAGCGAGCATATGGCCCAAGATCTCGACGCACAACCACAGCGGAGTACCCCGAGTTTGAAGGATCAGACGGTGAGGACACAACCACGCAGCCCAGATGCAACCACGTAACGCCACGTGGCACTTCCGGTCGTCGAGTCGAACACGATCGCGCCCGATCGTCGAGTCGAACACGATCGTCGATTATCGGGCACTGTCGTGTTCGACTCGACGATCGGGCACGATCGTGTTCGACACGACGATCGGACACGATCGTGTTGGACTCGACGATCGGGCGCGATCGTGTTGGACTCGAGGATCTCGCTTGATCGTCGAGTCCAACACGATCGTGTCCGATCGTCGTGTCGAACACGATCGTGCCCGATCGTCGAGTCAAACACGATCGTGCCCGATCGTCAAGTCGAACACGATCGCGCCTGATTGTCGAGTCCAACACGATCGCGCCCGATCGTCGAGTCCAACACGATCGTGTCTGATCGTCGTGTCGAACACGATCATGCCCGATCGTCGAGTCGAACACGACAGTGCCCGATAATCGAATCGAACCAATCGCGCCCGATGTCTGATTGTCGAGTCGAACACGACAGTTGAGTCGAACACGCTCGTTGAGTCAAACACGATCGTGCCTGGTCGTCGAGTCGAACACGATACTGCCTGATTGTCGAGTCGAACACATCACTGCCCGATCGTCGAGTCAAACACGACAGTGCCTGAATGTCGAGTCGGACACTATCGTCGAGTAGAACACGATAGTCGAGTCGAACATGATCGTCGAGTCGAACACGATCGTCGAGTCGAACGCGATCATCGAGGCGAACACGATACTGCCCGATCGTTGAGTCGAACACGATAGTTGAGTCGAACACGACACTGCCCGATCGTCGAGTCGAACACGACAGTGCCCGATCGTCGAGTCGAACACGATAGTCGAGTCTAACAACGATCGTCGAGTTGAACACGATCGTCGAGTCGGACACGA